TATATATATTTTATTTATTTATTTATTTATTATTATTATTATTTTTTATTTTAATAACATCTTAATTGGTTATGACTGGTTTGTACTATTCCTAGAGTGTCAGTTAAATATGAATCATTGCCATTATTTTTTTGTCTCAAGGGACAGCAATGACAAATGACAATTAACATCTTTACTTTTGATTGCTGGTTCATATCATTTCTATAATTGTTAGTTAATTATGTATAACGCCAAACTGTTTTCGTCTCTAGTCATTTCTTCCACTCTGAAGATACTTGTATGTATGCATGTGAACAGATAGATTAACATGTTGGAACAGATGGATTAACATGCTATTATACCTTCTTCCCCATTTTTTATTTTTTATTTTTTACACGGAAGAGTTCAGACGGGGTATTCCAATGCCCTTAGTGAAGTTCTCTATTATCTGTACACACATTTGATGCACCAGTTCCTGTTATGGAACTGCTTGGAGTCCTCCAAAAATAATATCGGAGTGCTTTTGCATTAGCATTGCTAGTGTGCATCTGCCAGCTCGTGATTAGTCTTTCCCACATATCACCTGGTCTTGGTTTTAGAAATCAATAGTTTATGTATAACCTTACTTAACTCGAGATTGTAAAATGGATATGAATGAAAAATTAAGTGATGATTCTAGTTATTTTCCTGTCTTTTTGCAGATTTCTCTATCCAATATATCCACTTATTTGTGTTGCTGCTTCAGCTGTCATCGAGAGCTTTCCAGACTTGTTTCGTGATAAGTATAATCCCAATGATAATTCTCTGCTGGTGGTGGTAAAATTCCTAATTCCTGTAGCAAAGTCGTGTTGATTGATGATCACTGCCACTTAGAACTTACTTTTGATTTGTGTGTACAGATAGCAAAAGGTTTAAGACCTCTGATACTTGGACTCATTCTGTGCGCTTCCCATGCCAGGACTTTTTCCTTGACTAATGGTTATTCTGCTCCTTTAGAAATATACAAGCATTTGGAGCTCCACGATGATGCAGGGACAGGTAAGAATCAGTGTTTGCACTTCATTGATGCTGGAATAGCATGGACTAGTCTGTAGTCATAACTTACATGTTGTGGCCCTTGTGGGTCATGTGCTCTTTGTCTTAAAGTACTTTTTTCTACAAGCCAACATTCTAGTATTTCTGAATTTTCCATGCCCTGTGCATATTAGATTTCGACTAACAAACAAGGACTTTAACGTTTTTGGGTATCATATGAATAAGAAAGTATTAAAATCTTTGCCTATGTCACTTGTTTTCTTCACTTTTTACTCGAGTCGAATGGTAATACTACCCTGTTTTATGAGCAACCATCCTTTTTTTCCTCTTACAATGTTAACAAGTAATGCAATTAGCAGGAAATTTGCCAAATTATGCTATTTAGAGAATGATAATTACTGCACTGTTAACAATTCTATTGCCATTAGCAGGACACTTTCAAAATTGTTCTAATAAGATAATGATGGACTGAATTTGGTTGTTTTGAGCACATGCTTGCTTTCATGATTTTCAAGCACATTCTGCTTGTTGAACATGTTTCTCGTCTTATTAGTTCAATTGCATTTCTTATTACTATTATGGTTACATGTAATATAGGTTCGACCCTTTGCATTGGAAGTGAGTGGCACCGTTTTCCATCATCTTTTTTTGTTCCCGATTATGTGAGCGAGGTTCGGTGGATAGATGATGGATTCAGAGGTCTTCTCCCTTTTCCCTTTAACTCGACACTGGGTGGAACGTCTGCAGCACCATCTTATTTCAACAACAAAAACAAGGCATCAGATCAACAATATGTAATTAATTTCTGCACACTTTCTCACTAGTTAATTCCTTTTCTCTTCATTATAATTTAACTTCAAGCAAGTGAATCAATTTCATTCTTCCTTTTACTTGTAGCAATGACTTGGAATTTTTTTCCTCCTTTCTTTTGTGCCAATGACATTGCAGCTCCAAGATCTTGAAAAATGCACCTTCCTTGTAAAGTTGCACCTCCAAAGACCTTACCTTCCTCGAGGGAGTGACTTGAATACGTGGGAGGTAAAGATTCTCTCTCTCCCCCCTTCCCCTTTATGTGTATATCTATATCTATTGTGGTGTGTGTATTCATTCAACCTTTTCTTCAATAGGTGGTTGCAGCATTACCATATCTAGATCGCGAATTGTCACCTTCTAAGTACCGGTCATTCTTCATCCCATATCTGTGGCAGCAGAAAAATGTGTTTGGCTTGTACAAGCTACTTAAGAGAATACCGCAGCCAGAAACATAATCAATCTTCCGCTCTTTTTGGAAAAGAACTTCATGGCTGGCAAGGTCTTATCTATGCAGGGCAAAGAATTCTAACTTTATAGAGGTTGATCATCTGTGAACTGGGGGTGATTTTGAACTCTTGCTGTGACCACTAATTGAGCCTCAAAGAAGATTATCGGTCCCCTGTATTTCTGACACGGATAAATCATAATTTTGAATTTTCTTCTCCTTTATGCAGGTTACTTAAAAAATATGAAATTTGCTTGCCATACTCAATTAGATGTGGTATCATGCGACACTTTTAACTTGAGACGTGGTGTAGTACGCGACACTTTGATGTGACTGCCTCGGAACTAGAACGATATAATATAATGAAGAATGACCCGGTGCTAGAAACATCGATATGCTTTTTAAACTGTTCAGACATACTTCTCTTCTAGTGTAACTTGAGATGTGGTGTAGTAATCTCCAACATCATCATATTATTAACTACAAGTCTTGATTATTTATAAACAATTTACAAACATGAGCCAAACATAGGAGTTAATCGATAGGAGGCCAAGTTGTGATTAGTTTAGCACCATATTGTGATTCACATTTTGGATAATTGTAACAAAAAT